TTGGGGTTCCATGATATATGCAACAATGATTGCTTAAGATGAGTGTTTTTGAATTCGGCAGCTCAGACCACGGAACTGAAATTTTGAAAGCACAGAATTCAAAAATCTTAGTTGAATTATTTCATGTTAAAGCAAATGCGTAGCGATTCTCAAAGATAAAAAGGACACTACCATAACGTCAATGCAAAAGTTTTCTTTCACTTTACAGATTGAAAAGTAGAGCTGTGATAATCCAATCTTCAAGACAACATTAGTAAGAATGAAATGAATAACATATCAGAGAAAATTTACTTTAATCAAAATCCAGGTTCATTTGTAACCTGTCTTATCTTCTGTGAATCTGATTGGATTTATCTATTCCTGTTAACCCCAGAAACAGATACCACGTGAAAGTAGGCTCTATTTACCTATCTATAGTCTGTAAAAGTTGTATCATATGGACTATCCCTAGCTACTCAGTTGAGAGAAAAGAGTTTTCATCTCAGAAACACAAAAATCTTCCCCAAGGGACAAATTTCATGAAGATCTTTCAACAAACAGTTTTAGTTTAATTGATTGAAAATCATAAAGCAAGAGCACAATATTCAGGAGTTATCTACACGCAGTTTTAAGAGATTGTCCACACAACACGAAAGAATTCCCTGGTTTTACTTTATTTCAAATGATGGCAAGAAAAAAGAACAAGGAAAAAAAGAAATAAAAAGAAAGTTCTTACCATCAGTGGATGTCAAATTGTCAAAAAATTTCCAGTTTCCATTATCTTTATATGCAAAGTGTAGATGGACCTCAGTTCTCATCAAGTATCGAGCAAAATAGTTTTTCTGAATAATATAAAATTGCAAAGTAAGCAAAAATGAGATGAAGATAAATATCATTTGGGTGTCAGCCAATCATCAGAAAAAGAACCAATCATGACCACACTTGGAAAACCCACCTGTCTGCCTCTCACGAGCTACTGAGAGAGACCTGCCTATAAAATATCTTGATGATGAAATTAGATAGTAAATTTACATGTAAAAGAAATTACAGGACTAATTAATGTACATATAAAAGGAATTAGGATGAACCCATGTACATAGACATACTACAAATACAGATGACAATGGTGCAACCCAACAAAGCTGAGAAAAGGAGAACAATCAGCATTAGAATAAAAGGAAAAGTAAATGTTCAGGTTCAGAGAACCAGCCTTGCTGGTGGCTCCTTTCTCTTCTTTCCATTTCTTAGTGGGCATTCAAAACCTTAAACTAAAAGAACAAGGCAACTAGATACTTGAAAAGATTAGAGCCAAAGAGAAGCACATGAAAAAAGAAAACTTGATGTTGCTTAGCACTAAGAGATTACCAGAAAACACACCTAAATGCATTGGCTTGTTTAACTGTCACGCAAACTATGCAGGTGATCCAAAAAAAAAAAAAAAAAAAGCGTAAGTTAGGAGAAGGTTTATGCTTATATAAGTGGGTCAGAGCATAAACTAAGATATATGGGTAATGATGAGAAGTCATTCAATATCATAATTGAGGTAAAGATGTAAGCCATCCTATTTTCATAATCAAAGTAGTCACTTTTAGAGAGAAGCAGAGCAGTAGTTGATAAACAAAAGATTTATAGTGGTGTTGCAAGTTGCGAGAAAAAAGGAAGATGTAGTGCTACAGCACATGAATTGGTAATAATCGGATGTTTGTGTTTGGATGCGGAGAAAGGCAAAAGGAAAGCACTAATGAGGAGAGAAAAACGATTGACCTCTCTGAAAAAGAAGTGGAAGGATCGTTTGAGTCGCCATTGAAGAGAAAAGGCATCAATCTTGGGCTGTAGATTGGAAATTCAGATTCCTGAGGCAATGCAGCCAATCGGCAAACAGGCAAATTACATAGAAGAATTCCTCCGTCGTCACCATGAATTCGCACAATTGCAGCGCCAGCTCGGCGCAGACAGGTTGTTAAGGCGTTCCATAAAGGCAATAATAATATAATAATTATGAGTAAGAATCAAAATTATAGTACAACAGCCAATCATTGGTGCTTATATTTAGAGTACCAGCAACAGGATTTTTATCCTACATTTCAAGGCTAAGCTCTATAGGTGAGAGCAGATACCGCTTATTGCGGCCTTAATTAAGCATCTGAATGGTGAGAAACCCATAACACCTCCAGGGCCTGTCTTTGCCACTGAAGAACTGCTAATAAGTACACCATCGCTACTAACTCCTTTCACCTTAAGCATTCCTTGAGGTAGCAATTTCATACTTTTCTTAATTAGACCCCAAAGTTTGGCATATCCAGACAAATTTTTGAAATTGTTCAAAATCCACTATTTATCTCTACATTCCTACAGATTTTCAAAAGCTACAGATTCACACATCAAATTAAAGCGCATATATCTTATCAACTTCAACTTCAGAGTTAGAGAAGTCAGATTGATGCCAAGAGGTCGAACCGCTCCTCCTTGCAAGCTTTCCTTTCCTCCTCATTGATCGACTCCTCTTGGACCTCACCACATAATAAGTCATAGTGCCAAGAACCCCAGCCATGATAACTCCCCCTACAACAGTAACCAAAATTGCAGCCCATTCATGATGTCGACCAACCACTATATAAGATGAGGCCATAAATGCCACTGAAGTACACACAGATGCCAACCACATCAACTTGTTGATCACTTCCACCACTCGTCTCTCTGCTTTTGTCTCACCCCTAACCAATGTGATTTGAACAACCACAACTGCCAAAGATGTAAAGAGTGCAATGGCATTGAAGATGAAAAATATTTTGAAAGAAGCACTACGCGCAACTACTGCCACTCCATTATCACCATCCCCACCAGGCACGGTAAAAATAGCTGCAAAAGCAACAGTTGCGAATAGAACAGCCACCACTGTCACTGAATTAGTGGCATTGTTTATTCCTTCTCGATGGAGTTTTCTGAGCTCCTTAGAGATATTATGGACATTTTTATTGGTTCTTTTAGTTTGTTCAAGCTGGGTATGAACATCTTTCTTAATTTGGGGTACAGTGTTCCTCAACTCGTCCCTTGGTTGGTTCAGGTCATTAGCTCTGAGAGCACCACAGCGAAGAAGGCATCCAATTAAATCAGAGGATTCAGAAGATGGAGGAAGGTTCTCAGCTATGTCAAGAGCCGTTTTATGGTCTCTGGTTAGTGCATTAACATTGGTGTCAGGGAGTGACAGCAACTGATTCACTATCTGCAAGGAAAATGGGAAGACTCAGCAATGAGAAATTGACAGCACTACATAAGCAAGATCAAGATTACTGGAACATGGAAGGCTAGAAAATTAGAAATGCAAGCCTTAATAAACCATAGACTACTGGACATGATGGGAGCAGATAGATATATAATTGAGCTTGCAAAAACCTATGTGCTACAGCTGCTATTGGAATCAATACTGGACCAGTGACAAGAATATGGATTTTGTAGAAAGGTAATCAAAGCCAAGAGAATATTACAAGTTTAAATCTGGGGAATGCTAGAAGAAGTACATAAGTAGAGCAGACAAGGCAACTCAGAATTCCTATATTAGATAAATAACCATAGGTAAGAAATGGGGACATCATAAACCATTTACCAAATGGTCCAAGTCAATAAACCTGGGGAACTGGAAAAAATTTTGCAGTTAAAATCTATAACTATGCTGAAACCTTGTCTTTAATGTGTTATCAATAGAGTTGAAAGTCTTTCAGAAAACCCTACAGCAATTGGAAATTGTTCAAAAGTCTTAACATATTCAGAAAATTGAAGATAAATCTACATTTACTGCAGGACCATGGCTTAAATTGTCTCACAGACCATTTAAGAGATAGCTAATATATTAACTATTCCTAGGATATACAATTGGAGAATAGTACAGTGGGATGGTGTGTACTTATTTTTGGTTACAACTCACAATTAAAGAAAATAAAAAAGAAAAAGAAGATGTACCTCCACTCTCTTTTTCCTCGTGGCTACATGTAATGCTGTGTTACCAGACTTGTCTGGAAGCATTACAATAGCAGCATCTGCATCTAGAAGCAATCTAACTACGTCACAACTCTGCCCCTTTACAGCCATGTGCAAAGCAGTCTGTCCTTTCTTATCTTTCCTCCTTGCCAATTGTGGATCTTTTTCAAGCAATGCTTCTACAATATCTAGATGCCCCTGCCGAGCAGCTAGGTGCAACGCATTTTTCCCATTGGATCTAGAAATCTCTAACAAGTTACCATCTTTTGACAGCAGCTCATTGACTACAGCTGTATGTCCTTTGGTAGCAGCTGATATAAGAGGGGTTGCATTTGATGGGCCACAAGTGTTGCTTAGGGTAGGGTCATGATCTAGCAGAACTTGCACAATAGCTGCAAGAAAGGAACCAGCATGAAGGCACTCACAATGTTTCAAATAAGACATTACACATTAAGGACCATGAATTCCATCTAGTAGCCTCGTAAAAATGAAGTAAAAACCTTGACATTCATATTTCATATAATTGAAGCCAACTGCAATCAACTCAAGTTTCGTTGTTTTGAAGATTTAAAGAGGAAATTAACTCATCATTCAGCTTACAAGAATCGAACCAAAGCCATTGATCACAATGCTCAGGTTTTAATCAGCTCAAAAACATGACAATAGGAAATTCCTCTTACATAATCAATGTATTTAACACAAAATTCAATTAATTCAACCAAATAAGACCACATAATTGATAATTGCAAGATGGCAGAACCAGAAACACAACACACTTACCATGATGTCCCCTAAGCGCTGCAATATGCAAGGGATCATACCCAGACCTATTCTTCTTTGAAAGTGTTTCCTTATTTGAGTACATCAACAACTCATTCACGACATCAAGATGCCCCTTCTCCGCTGCCGTAAACAAGGCTGTCTCCCCCAACTCATTCACCTCATTCACAACTGAAGCCCTAATCTCCGCAACCTCCTCATCAACTTCCGCCCCACTCGAAGTCCCAACCATCTGCAAACGGATGTCCTCAAGAATCCGCTTCACATCTACTAGATCACCCTGCTGCGCTGCCAAGTGCAGTCCAGTGTCGTTATGGCGCCCAGTCACTTGCTTCACATACTTCTTTTTACCAGCCTGATCAATCCGTTTGCCAGAATTCGATAGAACCAGAGCCGGCGCAGTTGCCGTTGCTGATGGCGAAGGTGTTGGTGACGGTTCCATGAGTTGATATTGAAACTGCTTGGGACTCACCACTCCATTCTCAAGATCCCTCTCAACACCTAGACAATCAAAGCTCCAAATTAAACTTAATTGTTAAGACTAATTTCTAATTCAGTTCAGGTTTTATCCATCTAACTGCTGGAAACAATCTTATCTCGCCAACAAAACAAAATTTAAGCTAAGAGAACACATAGGGAAACAATATATAATAAAAAAAAGAGTGAGTAGAGAGAAGATCGTACTATCTGCTTGGATTGAAGAAGACGCCGCCATTGTTGAAGAGTGAAGATTAGAAGCTCATGCGTTCAAGAAAAACTAAGAGAAATGGTAATGAAATGATAGGATAGAATAAAAAGAAAGAGAGAAAAAAGGAAGGAAGGTCCCGAGAAGGGACAACGAAAGAGCGTAGAAAGCGAGTTGGAGAAAAAGTTAAGCGAGTTGGAGAAAAAGTTTGTATGGATTTTTCCTTCTTTTTTATTTTTTCTTTTTATTTTCCGAAATTATTATTGGTTAGCACTTTTTTAACTTTTTTTACTGGGTTCCACGTTCTTTCTATAAAGATTAAAAAAAGAAGGAAGGAAATTGTTTTTGGTCAAAAAGCATATGGTACTTCTCCACTCCCACTCAACCAGTTGCATGTCTATTTGTTGAGT